ACCCGAATCGAGCTCGAATCGCTGTCGACAAAGCTTGAAATGTGGAGTTTTAGTCCGCCAATACCAAGGAAACTCCTGCCAGTATTTGATATGGACTAGATTTACACTTACCATTCGCTAAGTAGCTAACGATTCAATGATTACTCAACAGCTTGGCACTTCTGACCAAGTCATCAATCAGGAAATTTCTACCCTTGTCCTGTAAGAATAATAACTTAAACTGACTGCAGTTTTATTGCTGACGAACACATGCTGTCTGTACAAGGAATTGACGGAAACTAGAAGCTTTTTAGTCTTTTATGAACTTGTATGCAGTAAAGTAGCCGTTTGCGTTTAAATGCATGTGCATGTGCGCGCTGAATTTACAGACACTGTGCCATCAATATGGCCGATGTTCTGAGCCTTCTACGCGAGTATCATCTGAACAACAAGCCTATTATAGAAAACCATGATGAAATCATTTTTGGCGAATTCGCCTGGCCCAAGACGACTAAAACGAACTATATTATATGGGGGTATGTTTACCCTTACGCGCATAATCGTTGTACTTCAGTACTGGGAAGGACGGGACTGCTAAAGATTACTATTCACTGGACTGTATCGTTTATCTCCTGAAAAACATTGAACTTCCGCACTCACAGTATGTGCGACAAGCAGCTGTTAGTCTTCGAATTCTTCCTGTTTATCTCGTAGACTGCTCAAGTCCCAGTTGTGCGATTTCCAGATAGGCGCGAGCTTTTGGCCTACCTAAAAGGTGAAACCAACCTGGCACCAAATATCGACCGCACTGTCCCCATCGACATTTCTGTTCGCCGTCCTGTTTCTAAGTCGTCTGGGGATTTGCAGGCTATAAGGCGTGGTATGTTTACATGTGCGATTCTTTTTACATGCCGAACATAAGATGCGTTTCTACTTCTGTATTTTGTGCGGTTGCCGACGGCACTCCAGCATATATTTATATTTTCTTGGTAAATTCTATAATTAGTATATTTTCTGCTTTTTTATAGTTAACACTGCCGTTATTAACACCACTATCATCGCTCCCGTTTGCACTAAAATTTTCATAATAAAAGTCGCATATGTCATCGTTTTCCATTCGTATTTATTGAAATTTTGATGTTACCTCC